CGTTAAATTTTAATCCTGACATAAACGAAATTTATAAATTTAATACAATATTAACTTAACTAACCGTTATGGTACTTGACCGTTAGGAAAAATATTTTAATACATGTAGGATAAATGACACCGCACACATTTTTATTAATTTATATTTTTTTTATTTTACTTTTTTTGTTCAAGCTGACAATGGGTGTTGTGGAATTCCATACAACTGTTGATTATAAATCCCACGACAAACTATAATTGTGTTTTATATAATTTGAGTATTTTAACTTAAAATATATATTTTTTTTGTGTGCCATTTACTTATTGTTAATACTATGTATAATTAAATTGACGTTAACTCTTTACAAATATAAACATATTAAGCCAGTAATTAGAAAATATTTACCTTATAAAATTTAATTTAATTAATGATAAATTTAACAACTTAGCGATATTTAATAAATCATCTAGACTATTCTTTTGAGTTAAAATAATTAAATTATTACAATTTACAATCATCATAATCTTTCTTATCACGCTGATATGGTCAGGGAACTTAAAGAGATTTAAGTAAATATTTCACTTGTTTGAATAATAATACTAAATATGTTTAACGGAATTATAAATCGCAATGTTCATTTTAAATGAACTCCAATGTACCAGACATTATAATAACAGCGTCAGCAAAATCTTCCCGTTTACCGACGCGTAGGTATTAGATTACTCGAACATATATTTGTTTTTTTTTATGTACATATATTATATCCTATATATATATATGTATATCTAAGTGTGTGTGTGTGTGTATTTATACATATACATTATTATTACGAATTAAACTTATCATATAAGTGTATATTGTTGATCTGTGCCATTGGTACAACAATTTAGAATTTTTTTTTTTTATATAAACAAGGTATACAATTGTAGAAAATAGTTTTTGCTTAACACAAACATATTATTAAAATATTTTATTATTAATTACGATTATATTTGCCGGTATGCTATTGTTTAGTTCATTTTTCACTAGATTATTGTTATTTAACACTATTCTATTGGTATGTAATTTAAGATATAGAAGTATCCGCGTATAAGTTATAAACGCTGTTAGATTTCTAGGAATAAAGAAATATTTTAGGAACGTATTTAAGCCCAAAAATATTTCATATTTAGGTAGGTGCTCCTATTTTTCCGCGAGTCGGGAGCGGTCGTAGTACATGGCACCAGCTCCGACTTGACGAGATGAAGCAATATAATGACCAAAAGTAGATAGATTTTCTTGCTTCACGTGGTAGTTACAGGATAGGTCGATTCATTAGAACGATAATTTTTATATGAGAAGGTAAAGGACTAGAAAATATAAATAAATTAAAAAAATAAATAGTATGAGTAATTTTAAGTTTTTTTATGAGGGTATAAAATTATATACGTTAGTAATATTCAATCAATTTTAATCGGTAGTAATATTTAAATAAATTGTTTAATCGAATACAAGGATTAATCGCTCGTTTAGTAGACGTAGAGTACTAGAGGTTTAGGTGTGGAAAATCATTGTTTTTTTTATTAGACCTTTGTTAAACTGGACACGAAGCGTATCTCTCTCACGGATGGACTTGTAGCACCCAGGGCCCGGGTGTCTATAAGTAGCGATTGCCGCTTTCCTGAAGCTGATAAATACGCTGGCCAAACGTAAAGTTTTAATGTGAGGCTCAAATTATTATTTTTTTTTTTGAGATATTTAAATCAAATTTCATTTACACACTGTATATGATGCGATTTAGGTTATAATTATATATTTTAACATCGCCATTATTCTGCTATTTTTACCGCTATTATCAGTTAGCATTTATTGCCGCCGTTTGGCCATTAGTTGCCTTTATTTGCCGTTTTGCCGTCCTGCAGTGATGCCATGTTGCCGTCCTGCAGTGTTACCATGTTGCCGTTTGGCCATTAGTTGCCATTATTTGCCGTTTTGCCGTCCTGCAGTGTTACCATGTTGCCGTTTGGCCATTAGTTGCCATTATTTGCCGTTCTGCCGTCCTGCAGTGTTGCCATGTTGCCATCCAACAGTGATGCCATGTTGCCGCCAAGCAGTGTTACCGGCTTGTCGTTTGTTTTATGTTGATGAATGCCGTGCCATGATTTTTTTTTTTCATCGCACGTTTGCCAATTGTAGTCACCCGAACATTCGAATTGTTTAAGGTCAAGGGACCTCAAATTTTTCCACAAAACTTGACACTTAACTTTTAAATTTAAAAATCGGGCGTGTAGGTAGTTTAAAGAAAGGCGTAGCTAACCTCTATTTTATTCGACCGAACTGATTTTTAGGTGAACATTGTTAATTCGAGTTTCGTGCGCGGTCATCTGCACATGTGGGTTATATTTTATTCCGGCTGATCACCGATGATTTATTAATTTACGGCACATTTTTATCCCTGAAATTTGCAGTGGATTTTTGTTTTATTATTTTTACCGGCACAATTAAATCGGCGATTTATATAATTTTTTACGGCTTTTGTCTCCGAATATCACGGAATGAATTACCGATGTATTTATTAAAAACGGCATCTCGTACTAATAACGGCACTTACCAATTTTGTCACGAATTTACATATATAATACGACATTTTTGTTATTTTTACACCACCTATGAAGTGGATATATTTATCATTTGATAACGGAAGTTTTTTCATGTTTGATTGATTTGTATAATATGAAATTTGTGTTTTTACTTTATCGCGTTTATAATGACATTTTAGGGCAACATTTTTAAACTTATTTACTACATAATTTTACTTTATCTATCTCGCGTTGAATTGAAATGAATATGATATTCAGCAAATTATCTGTACCCCGTTTTAAGTAGGTTGGTGTTATATTCTATTATATAAAAAGAAAATAAATAATAATTATCCATCGTGGTAATTTTAGCGAATATTTATTTAATATAATATTAACGTATGAAGCAATATTGAAATTTTTTTTTGTGATAGAACTTATATAAATAATGATTACTCATTTTATAATAATAAAATCTAAAGGATATACTTTTAAAAATAACATTTATATTAAGAATAATAAATAATGCAATTTGATATTTCATAAACATACCTTATTTAAATGTATACATATATTTTATTGTTTTACGGCACATGTTTTAATAACTAAATGAGTTGCAGGCACCCAAATGGTACACAGATCAACAAATAATTCAAAACTATTGTAATTAAAACTGTCGTTTTCACGACAAATTTACTAACACAAGACATTTTCATTTATTATGTATAAATATTTTAAAAAAAATAAATATAACTTGACCTACTGACTAAACTTAACGCGCAAGATAAGCGACTTCAATTTTTTTTTTTTTTAAAGGTCAAGGGTATTATTGTTTTTTTTTATCGTCGCGTAAATTACCCTGGGTCCGATATTTTTTCGACTACTAAGCGTTTCTCTGTTAGTCTTCTTTTCTGTTTCTTTTATAAACACTTAATGAAATTTATTTTATTTTACGATTATTATTATTTTATTTTGTATAATTTAAATGAAGTAGTTTTTTTTTTAAGCACGCAGAGGTATCAACTTAACTTAAGATAATGAATGTATATGATAAATGATTTTTAGCAACGTTTTTCATCATTATCATTAGGATTAACGTAATTACACATATATATTGTGAGATAAACAGACAATGAATTTTTCTTTTATAGTTGTTTTGAGTTTTCTTGTATGCGTAGCTTAGCCAACTTAATATTTTAAACAATAACAATACAATGTAGCCCATGCTTTTCCCATATTACCTTTTTATGTGGAATAGAATATGACAACCACTAGTAGCTTATTAAGACCTTGAGAACACCACTATTCATTTTATAGAGGGTTGACCTACAAGTCTTTTCAAGAAAGGCGAGAAGCTAGGTTGGATGTTTTCGTCGAGCGATGGCCTTTCAAATTTTCAATAAAAACGACAAGATAAGGGATGGATGATCGTCGAAATTAACCAAAGGTCAAAATAAGAGTACAGGTGGCCCTCCTTTAAATCATAATTAATTTAAACCAACCTATAGGAACCTTTATTTTCAGGGTATTTGTACATATCTTATTTATTTTTCTTAGTACCTATTTTTATTTGTATAACTTAGGTCTGAGGTCAGACCTCATTAGGGGAGGAGCAGCTGTAACGGTCACATTTAGCCGCCCGTTACCACTCGCCTCCAAATATGCATTATTAGCAGTTTACCCCGATTAGCATGTAAGCCATTATAGGTAGGGGAGACAACAGACACACGGGACAATGCCAGGGGCACCGATGCCCAGTTAGTTGACATACTACCATCTTCGGACCGCGACCTAATTATTCTAAAGCCATTACCTATATTTCACGTTACATTACTATTTTATATTTCTTTTAACTTTACCCGTACTCGTGTGTCCGTTCAACTCCGCCATTACCTGGACTAACTACAGAGAACGCTTTAGGATCCAGGTAGAGGTGTAATATATATGTACATAGCTTTACTTATTTAATAAACCTGTTTTCGTTTCGTTGCACACTTGAGAGTTAAGTTATTTAGAGGTACGATCGCCTGTTAAGCTCCTCAGGCGATATAGCAAATATACAAAGGAGACTTTAGGGATATTTAAGTGTAGATACGGCCTAGCCATCCGTCCCGTCTTCGGGTCCACTAATTTAACCCTATCGACTGTCGTTTCAGCCTAGCCTAGCCAACTAGCCAAGCAGACACGTTACAAAAGTAATATTTCTCGTTTAAACGACTAGATTTTGCAGTAACAGCATATAAAGATCTACTGGATGCATTGAAGGAAGCATACAATTTTCTTTCAGACAAAATCCATGGTTCTGATTACTCAGGTACTTATTTAATGATATCAATAAATAGAAAAATAATGATAATTAACGTGTAGGGATACCAATGATAAAAAAGATATAACAATAGGTAACTTGCACTTACTAAGTGGGCTTTTTAAACGTCTTAACAATATTTTAATACGTTTTTTAGGCGTCGATCGCAGAGTCCTTCAAGATGGAATAGGAGATGATGCACCTACACGTACGTAGTTAACAGCAAATAATAATTAACAAGATAAAGGCAAATAAAATAAACACATAATTATATATAAAATTACAAAGGGAAGCTCGAAAAATGTCCACAAGAGTAACTTACCAGAAAAAAAAAATACCTAGAATACATTTTTACAGTTATTGCGGCACATGATTTAAATTTGACTGTGATTTTTAATATTGAACAATTCAATAGTACCTATGTGTTTCGCGTTTATACGATTTGTGTTTGCAGCATGGGAAAATTTGTTGGATTCAATAAAGAAATTGCGCGTTTGTATTGAAGATAAACTCGTTTATACAGGTACTTATTTGATGATATAAATAAACAGCAATATAAAGCAATAGTAAACTCATATATCCTATGCAAATAGTTCCAAAAAATCGAAAAAACAATTGTAAAACATTTTTTTGGATTTGGACGATTCTTTAAATTTATTGTAAAAACAACAAAGTTCACCACCGAGTTACTTAATAAATAATTATAATTTCGAATTTTCACTGAACAATTATAATTTAAGTGTTTTTTTTTTTCATAGCATCCCTAAACAATTTTTTTTCTAATTTATAAGTAGCTTAAAATTTTAAAAAAATTCAAGATTGTATACATTTCAATCGTTTTTATGCTGACTCAAGTTTAAAATTAAAAAAAAAAAAATTTTAGTCTAACGCGTCTAACTACACTCTTTTGATCATATTTGTTTTTATGATGTAAAAATAACTTTAAAGTTTGGCGTTTTACTAAGAGTTGCAATATTTATAAGCTTATTGCGTTTTAACGATATACAATTTTGAAATTTGTACAGCACTTACTTATATGTACGTAAAATATCTGGTAAAAGTCTGGTAATGGAAACTTATTTTCACTACAAGTTGTATGAACTTGAATTTTTCAAATTTCGTATTTTAGAACTACACATAACAAATTTTTATTCAAGTTCTTACAACTTCTAGTGAAAACAAGTTACAAAACTTTTACCAGGTGTTCAATATACATTTTAGTAAGTGATGTACAAGTTTCATGTTTTTAGTACAATTTAGAAAGACTTAAACTTATCCAACAAATTGCCATATTGATGACATTTTATTATTTCAATGCAACCATACATCATTCCATCGCCCACACTAAATGTATGAATTATATTATTAATTTTTTTTAATATTTAGTCGCACAAAGCCAGCCACCTACTAATGGTAAGTTAACTGCACGTTAAACGTTTTGCTCAGTGTTTTTTACCAACTTTTGTCCCGATGCCGGTAAAGACTGGAAAACCGTTAAATTTTGCATTTTGAAAGCTTTTTCGGATTGATTAACTTGAAATTTAATATACACTTAGTATATTGCAATTTTTTTCCGGCAGAACTTGTTAATTTTTTATTTAAATATAAATAATATCAAGCGCAATAAAGAACTGATCTCGAAATTAATGGAAAAAATTATTATTTTTAGAAACTTTTATAATTTCCTATCATTTTGCATGTAATATTTTTGGTGACTGGTTATACCCCGCTGTACGTGTAATGGCAGTCGCTTGCAATTTTTTAAAAAAAGGGTTCATAGTTTTAAAAATCTGAAACTTTCAATTCAATAAATAACAACATTTTAAGTTCCAAAGATATTTCAATTTCCGCTATTTCCCCACACTGCCCTTTACTAGGCGTCTCAATTGTACAATTTGTTGAATTATAGATGGCGAGAGTTCAAAACTTTCAATCGCAAAAGGCAAGTATATGTTTTAGTTACCTACTGTACATGGGTTATTCTATGCCAAATCATCTGATGTGTGTGCAAGTGGATTTTCTAAATACTTCAAACTCATATTATATCCTATTCAAACATTGTTTTGGATTTTGGCGATACTATATTCTTTAAATGTATTGTAAGAACACCTAAGTTCACGACCGAGTTACTTAATAAATAATTATAATATCGAAATAGAATTTTTACTTAACAATCGTAATTTAAGTGTTCTTTTTTATAATATATCTAAACACCTTTTTTCTAATTTTTAAGTAGCTAAAACTTTGAAAAAAATTCAAAATTGTATACATTCATTAATTTTTATGCTGACTCAATTTCAAAATTAAAAAAAAAAAATGTTTATTCTGACACGACTAACTACACATGTTTGATTCATACATTTTTTTTGTATAAAGTAACTTTAAAGTTTGGCGTTTTACTAAAAATTGCAATATAAGTACATATAGGTAAGTGATGTACAAATACCAGAGTTTCTGGTTCAAGCCATAAGAAGTTATTGCCTCTTTTGTACAGCACTATTCATTAAAATTCCAAACTTTGAAGTTACTTATAAATAATAAACAAAACAAAATTATGAATCAAAAGACTAAAGTTTGGTGTGCTAAAAAAATATTTTTTTTTTTAACTTTGACCTTGAGTCTTATTAAAACGTAAAGCTGCAAAAATTGTATTTTTCCATATTTCTTTGTACAATGTTGTATTGTAACCTCGTCAAGGAACCTCAGCCAAAAAAAAATACCAATCAATTTTAAAATTATTGTAAAACAACACAATTTTATATTTGATCATCATTTTTAATAAAATTGAATAGTAATATTTCTCGTTTAAACGACTAGATATTGCAGTAACAGCATATAAAGATCTACTGGATGCATTGAAGGATGCATACAATTTTCTTTCAGACAAAATCCATGGTCCTGTTTATTCAGGTACTTATTTAATGATATCGATAAATAGAAAAATAATGATAAATAACGTGTAGGGATACCAATGATAAAAAATATATAACAATAGGTAACGTGCACTTACAAAGTGCACTATTTAAACGTCTTAACAATGTTTTAATACGTTTTTTAGACTTCGTAGACGGAGTCCTTTAAGGTGGAAAAGAAGATGTTCCACCTACACGTACGTAGTTAACAGTAAATAATAATTAACAAAATATTGGCAAATAAACTCTTTTTGCACAAATAAAATAAACACATAATTATTTATAAAATTACAAAGGGAAGCTCGAAAAAAGTCCACAAGAGTAAAAAAAAATACCTAGAATAGATTTTATAATTATTGTGGCACATGATTTAAATTTGACTATCATTTTTAATATAAAACAATTCAATAGTACCTATTTGTTTCGCGTTTAAACGATTTGTTTTTGCAGCATGGGAAGATTTGTTAGATTCAATAAAGAAAATGCGCGATTATATTGAAGATAAACTCGCAGGTACTTATTTGATGATATAAATAAACAGCAATATATAGCAATAGTAAACTATATAAACGAACAAAATCGTCATAATCTCTTTAAAAATTATACGCCTAATTATAGGAAAATATCATTGATAATTTATTACTCAACAGTAAAAACATTACTACTTACGAGGTTTAATGTTGACTAAGACGTTTCACGAACAGATCGGTTTGCAATTCACTCATCAATTTATATATTTATGTTTTAGTGGAAGCAGAAGATATTCACAGCGATTAAATAAGGTAATTTTTTAGGAGTTTTATATTTGTTATTATTTATTTATTTTTATTTGTATAACATGTCGCTGGTTAATATTAACTGTACACTTACAATGCTTGCATAGCATGTTATACTGTATCATAATAATAATAATTGGTTTTATTTTAGGCATTCAAATATGGGTTGCTTACCTGATCCGACCTGAACACAAATATAATTCCATTATTTAAAACAATTTGTATTGACTTTTTAATAAAACTATGTATATTTTGTGTGTTATGTCTAATTAATAACGAGCAATAAATGTGCAAAATGATGCGTTTAAATTTTATAAAAGCTTTTTTAATTTTCAGCCAATATTACAATAGTGTCTTTAAGAAGAATATGGTAAATTATTATAGAATTCTATAAGAGTCTTTTTTCGATGAATTTGCGGACATTTATTAGGCGTATTTATTTGCATTTATTAATAAATTGATACAACAATTTGAAATTAAAAAAAAAATCTACAAAAAAGATTATTTTTTATTGAAATAATTTAATAAAACAAGCCTAATGGTGTACCATTTGGTGTTAAATCTTAATACATGGAGATTTATTATTGTTCTAGTCAAAACAATTTGCGGACACCCGTAGCCACTCCTCACCCTTCCGTCTGACTATGCTCTGGCAAAGCAAAGGATGTGTAATGGTGTATATAGTAGCTCAAAAGGGATGAACGGGGTTGCCTAGTAATACCAAAGAGTTACAGCTGTAGTGTCGAATGTGTAATGTGTGTATAATGTTGATAATTAGAAAACTTTAATAATTTAAAAAGGTTCTTTTTTCGGTTATACATTAGTACCTACTTAAATTAGAATTGCCTCGCCGGTGCAACAAATAGTCAACTAAACAAAATACAATTGTGAATAAAACTCACACACAACAAATTAACTTAATTTCTGGCCAGGGGTGTAGCGAGGTCATTGTTTTAGGGGGCTCATTTCAAATATTATGTAAGCATGTTCACTTTGAAAATATACATTTTGTATTTATTTATTTTATTTACTGTATCAAATAATACTTCACTTAGTTATATTATTATTTTAATAATTCAACTAGTTTGATAGATATTTCAATACATGTATAAATATTTTTTTTTTAATGCCTAAACATTTTATCTACCTATATTTTGTAAATACCTAAATAATATAATATAGGTACAAGTTAACTTTTGAATTAGGTAGTTAACTACATAATTTTTTTCTAAGTGTAAAATATATTACCAAATATCATATTTTATTTCCTTGTTTTTTTTATAGCGTTAGTCAGTTTAACGTTGGGACAAAATGTATAGAAATTAAACAAGTCGAAAACAATTACCTTTTCACCTTTGTAAAAATGCTATAAACCTATAATATGTATTTTGTATATTTTAAATACCTTTTAATTGTGCAATTTAAGTGAAGTATTTTGGGTGGTAGGTTTGTTGTCTTATTTGATGCAATCAAGTTTACTATGTGAAGGTAGGTGAAAATTATAAAGAAACATAATATAACAATTTGTTAAATATTAGAATAGAAGTTCATAATAACTTTCAGCAACATTTAGGTATCAAATAAATGAAATAAAATCTCAAATAACAAATACCACATTAATTGAACAATGTAATTTACACTGTATAATAATATAACATATTTATTTGAAAATACCATTTAAGTGTACACACATAAATTAGTTACTTGCGAATAATCATAAAATATACAATATGTAGAATATGAATAATAGGTAAATTTACAAAATTGTCAAGGGTATTCTTTGGTGATCAAAAAAAAAAAAGATATAACTTAATAGTAATAATTTGTGTACAAAACAACAACAATTGTGAAATATAAAAGAAGAAGTTTAGACGGATTGGACATGTTGAAAATAGGGAGAAAACGTAAAAAAAATCAAAAAGAATGCATTCCCATACAGCGTTAAGTAAAGCGAAGAAAAACAAGGGCCAAACAAATCAAAAGGGTTTTATTCATCTGCATGTCACCGATGTGTTTAGATTTTTTTAAGAAATTAAACCTTTTTAGGCACATTCGTCACCGAGTAGGCCTATCGTCGTTCTTGTGCGTTTTTTTGTGTCTTTTCAGAGTTCCAGACAGTGAAAATGTTTTCGAACATACTTTACATTCGAAAGGCCTTTCAGTAGTGTGTGTCATTTTGTGTCTACTAAGCGTTCCGGATTCCAAAAACGACTTCGAGCACACTTCACATTGAAACGGTCTCTCGCCCGTGTGTGTCATTTTGTGCGTTTTAAGATACCCAGGTAGACGAAACGTCTTTAAGCATACTTCACATTGGAAAGGCCTCTCCGGCGTGTGTGTCTTTTTGTGTGTTATGAGATGTCCAGATTGTGAAAACGTCTTGCAGCAAACTTCGCATTTAAACGGCTTCTCGCCCGTGTGTATCATTTTGTGCTCTTTTAAAATCCCTTTTTTCGTAAACGTCTTCGAGCACATCTCGCACTGGTACGGTCTCTCGCCCGTGTGTGTCATTTTGTGCGCTTTAAGATACCTAGGCCGTGTAAACGTCTTGGGACACACTTCACACGGGTAAGGCCTCTCGCCCGTGTGCGTCATTTTGTGCGTTTTCAGATGTCCAGATTGTGAAAACGTCTTCAGGCACAATTCGCACTGAAAACGCTTTTCTCCTGTGTGAATTATTTTCGGTCTTCTCGGATTTTCCGTATCAGAACCGGTTTCGACTTCAGATTCTTCTTTAGCTCCGATACTTTTTGTCTCGACGTTTGATTCGCCAACACTACACAAAAAACAGGTAAAACAAATTATTTGGTAGTGTTGTCAATCTGTTAGTAATGTAGACAACAATGTTGTGGTTATAATTTATTCCATAAACATAAAAAAAATGTTTCAAGGAAAACACTGAATCATAAGTATAAGTTTGAAGCATATTTGGCCCTATACATTATGCACTAATCCGGTATCTTAATTGAGTAAATAATTCTAGTTAACATAATATCAAACTGTGAAAAAATTGAGTAAACTACTATTAATTATATTAATAATAATAACTAGGTTACTGGATTTTGATACGTGCACACAGATTTTAGGTTAACCCCAGGGGTAAAAACATGTACATGTTAAAATTAACTCACCCAGTAGACAGCGGCTCTGAAACTGAAAATGTTAAATCAGTAAATATGTTCTCGACTTCGGTTTCTTCAATTTTAATACTTGCTGTATCGCAGTTCGATTCAACGGAACTTTAAAAAAAGAAACAAGTAAAACAAATCATACAACAGTATTACCAACATCTAAAGTAAAGACAAACAAGTATGCTGCGACAATGATTTATTCAACGATGTATACTATATTTACTCCTAAAGTAAATATAGTTATATTATTTGTTGCATGAGAAGCAAGTGAAATATATTTATAAGAGGTGCCCTAATACAATGTATAAAATAACTACCATCGTTCACATGAAACAATTACATTAAACCATTTATATCTTATAGGTACCGTCTTCGGCCTTATACATTAACTAACCCCAACCTAACCGATCAAAATTGTAAATAAATTCAATAAACGAATATACAAATTGAGTGAATAAACCAAATAAACCGATTAAAAGTGAAATAAATGAGTAAATCGTTAGGACAAAATAGACTCACTCCGTAGAAAAAGGATCCACATATTCGTTCTTTATAACCGTAAAATCTTGATCAGCTTCAAGTTTTAATTCAGGTTTGAAATAACAATCTTCATCGATTTGGTCAACTTCCGATTTATTTACGGCCTCGCTGTTTAATTGTACAACAATAAAAAAATAAGCTAAAAAATAATGATATATTAAGCACTCCAGAAATATGTTCTCTTCATTTATTTCAGATAAAATGGAGTTTAGTATACTGAAATGTACATAGGAATCCAGGCATTGATTTAAATTTACTTGACAAACATAACTGATTTGAATTTTGGTTCTCGTCAGATTACTAATAAGGATTGAGTGTAAAAATAAAATATCTAATTAAAATAAACTTACCCAGTAGACAGATGATGCTCTGGAATTGAAAAAGACCAATGAAAACTGTCTTCGACATCAGATTTTTCAATTTTAATAATCGACATCTGAGGGTTTGATTCACCAACACTATAAAAAAAAAATAGAATAAATTATATGACAGCAGTCTCAACATCTATGAAGTATGTTGAATATATTTATTTGAGAAAAATACAATTTTGGCGATAACAATAACAATATTAATTTCGGTTGCTGATCTTTAGGCGGGGTCTAGGTTACTATATTTTAGGTTCTAAGAAAGTTAACAACATTTTTGTACAAATATTTACTATTAATATCTAAAACAAATGATATGAGAGTATGCGAGTTCATCGAGTGTCAGCGCATCAAGCTCACAACAATTATGTTATGCTTTTTTTTTAACTTACGACTTACCCAGTAGACAGATGCTCTGGAATTGACACGGTCCAGTCAGAACTGTCCTCGACATCAGATTTTTCAATTTTAATACATGTCTCGAGGTTTGATTCACCAACACTAAAAAAAAAAAACAAATTATACGTCAGTATTCCTAATATCTAAATTTATCTTAGCTTAGACTGTACTTAGTAGAAAGAAGGTTCACATATTCGTCCTTTATAGCTGTGTCGTCGACTTCTGATTTAATTACAACCATGCTGTTAACAACAAAAAATCAAATATTGCTCTGGGTTCGAACAAAAATAAATTTATACCGTTCAGTCATATCGTTAACAATAATATTCTGTGTTATTTCCAAATATTGTGTATTGTCTCGATGCAGATCGCTGTTGAAATACGGTTGTATACTATCTGAATTCGAATCATTAGCACTCGACTGTACATTTTGCCGACGTTCCCTTCTTTCTGCTTCACGTTGTTGGAGTTCTTCTCGGTGCAGTTCCCTGTATTTTCGCTGACGTTCTTTATTAAGAGCACCCTTCATGTATACACTGAAAATATGAAAATAGAAACGAAAAGTAGAATAAACATTATCTTCAGTACATTATCAGATTAATGACAATACTAATAAAATAAAGAAATCTTACTTTTCACTGGAATGTTCGTTATGTGGTGCTTGTTCTATACTGTCGAAATCTGAAAAATTTGTCGTAGGTTGGAAAAGTACATTTTGTTGACTTTCCCTTCTTTCTGCTTCACGTTGTTTGAGTTTTTCTCAATGCTGTTCTCTGTATCGTCGTTGACATTCTTTTTTATTGAGAGCACCCTTATTGTCTGTTCTATTATTACAAAATCAGAGAAATTATATTTTTTAAGATGGTATTCATTAGTTCAATAAAAATGAAAATGATTATGTTACATATCATTGATATAAAATTATTAAACCAGTTCACATCGAATGCAAGATAAATATAATTACCTCGTTGATACAGTATGTCTTGTATCACATGGATTGTCGTCGTTTCGAGTTTCAATAACAATATCACTTATCTCCCGTGACTGTTGGGTACTGAAAAATAAAAATAAAAATGCAAGGGTTGTTGAAAATTAATAAAGAGCAGAAGACACTAACCTAGCACCAGAAAACTAGGGAAAAATAGCTAGAGAGAGAAAGAGAGACAGAATATATATTTTTATAGAGTAAGTAATTAATCCAAATTATATTAGTACATACATACATAGCTATGTACGTGGATTTAAACTTACTTTGATGAATATAATTGGTTTGCAGTTTGTTCCTCATTCGAATCGTACTGAAGATCTGCACATAGAATGATACATGAATTAATACAAGTATGTAACATAATTTTATAACAGTAATGGCGTGCCCATAACCTACCCTAATGATATTTGTTGTATTCAATACTTATAACTATTCATTTTATAATTAAAAAATGTCTAGAAGACTAAGACTATGTCTGTACTAACATCATTGCCCATGATCACGCAACAACTTTATAATTGTATAGCGAAATAACTGTTTTTTTTTTGTTAAGTACTCACCTTGACTGGAAACTGGTGTGGATGGTTGTTTTCTGTATTTTTAGCCCAATGAAGAAACAACCACTAAAATATTGTAATTAATTAAAAAGTATTTTACTGCTTGACGTTAAATGTATCACCCTGTGCTACAGTGCTTGAATTGGAATACGATAGCATGAGAGCCACGCTACTATCAGTTTTAATTTCAGCATACCCTAGAGCAAAAATGAGTAGTTAAAAGGATATATATATATATTAAAAATACATCTGCATTTTAACTTTTGGGTTTAGAGTAAAATTAGAATTAGTATAAAAGTGTGATTAAAAAATAAAAATGAATAGTTGTACAGTTATTACGTGTTAGAGTGTAGCAAATAATTGTACTTGTTTAATGACGATAAAGTGTTTAAATTTAAAGCATAACAAATAGCTGGACAATACACATTTAGTCCATCAAATATTTTAGTATTTAAAAACATATTCATTTGATCATAATATAAAATCTAACTGCATTAACAAAATGAAAATGCACATGTACCCATGGAGGTACGACTAAACAGTCAAAAAATAATATGAATTTATGTTTACCTTGTAGCATTAACAAAGTGGCCGGCATACAACATTGACAGCTTGGGATTCATTTAATTTTCAATTTCAGTCGGTGGCATCAAATACAACAGACACTGAAACAAAAAATATCTATAAATTATTTCAATTAAAAAGAAAAATATATATATATAGCGTTGCGTGTGGATCGTAATCATGACTGACCTCTTTCTAGTATAAATATTTACACAACCGCCCAAAGAGTAAAAGGGCAGTCGTTACTTTAAATTAATTTCCTTTACTCTGAAACTCGTATAATTGTATTTATTTAAAATGTGTTATGCCGAGTAAAATTAAGTTAAAGTAATAAATATATAGTTATATAAAAGATTTTACTCCTGGTATATGGGTTAGCCCTATGTTAGCCATAAAATACAATATAATTTATTATTAAATTATGATATTAGCGTGTAGATGGTATGATGATAACTAATTCGTACGTAGACTCTGTTCACCGAGAGAACATACAGCGACCCGTTGCATAAATACTTTTAAAGTATTATTTACCTACTGTCCAACAACTACTTTGTACGGCAAGGCCATTATATGTTTAAAACAATAAGACTCGGCAATCTCATCGGTTTTCAACTCAAACAGTGATTCAATAACTCTAGAATTAGAACTTATACATACCAACAACGGTCGCTTTTCAAAAGTTGCAATATTTTTATTATTATATTGTTCATCATCACAAACGGTTAGGATCATCGATAAATAAATCAACAAAATCACATAATCCTTGGCAAGTAGGAAAGCACTTCCGGGGTTTTGTTATCATTTGACAACGACCAGACCAGAATCGGAAGACTTTAAACCACAATTATTGGCGATCGATCCTACAGGGGCTGTAGGATCTTACAACGCTGTAATCATTTATTCATTTATTATTAAAAATATCGTACAGTATAGTGCAATAATAATCACTTTATTCTTTAAAATATTATGTAAAACGTTCACATCAAAGTGTCGAGACGCAGCTACAACGAGACAGTCCAACGAATCGTTTTTCGTTAATAAAAATGTATCTGTTCGTGTAACACATACTAGGTATATTAAGCGAAACGAATAATTATTACCGAAATTCTTTAGAAATAATAATTATTATATTACAAAACAATTTTGCACTTTTCGATTAATGTGACATTCGACACTTTACCGTGTGTTATCATATTGATAACAAATCACCTACAAAACAGCAGCGCTTGGCGGGCACATGGCAGTTAGCCGAAAAATGATAAGCGATTTTATCATCAACATCACGCACGAGGGTTACACCTCAAAGAGCCACTCGACACGGAGCCACTCGACAAACAACCACCGAAAATCGACACCGAGCCACTCGACAAGCAGCCACTCGAAGGGGTACCAACATATACAATATTTATAAAAAATGCACGATTATTATTCGTGTATGTTGTGCGGCTAGTATTGTTTATTTAAAGGGGAAAACTTGTACATTTCATAACTAATGCAATAAGGCTTGAACTATTTTTAATTCACTGTGTGACCTGTCTCCTGTTTTGAGTTTTTTTATTTAAGTTATAATCAAATCAGTTTCTATTATTGAAATTTATATAAAAAAAAAACTGAAAGTATATGAAACAATATTTACAATATTATATTATAGTGATAATTTACCAACAATAAATTGTCTCTTGAGTTTGTAAAAAAAAATGTTTTTCAAAACATACTTACACGTTTTATAATAAGTAAAGCAGAATGTTCATTGATCAAATTTCAATGAAATTATACTTTTTTTTTAAATTATTTAATACCGATGTATTATACCTATCTATTTAAAACAATACATCGTGAATACCTCATACGAAACTATTCGATACCCGACAATAAAATTAAACACATTTACTTAAATACTTTACAACTTCCAATAGGCAATAACACAATAATAAATTATAGTTAAATACTATTTAATTTTGTATTATATATTATCATATCTGTGTATTAGTTATCATGTTATATATATGCCGAAAATAATAATTCCGAAAAAATTTAGAACCAAAACATATATTAACCGAAAATATATTAGCCGAAAAATATTTAAGTCGAAAATAATGTCATCGAACGTATTTTAGCTGACACTTATTGTTTGAACAGAACCTTATAAGTTATAAATTATAATAGTATACAAAAACACTGTTACGCGCGCCGTGTGACCGCGTTGTGTCTACTGTCTACGCTATTTTTATAACATCTGTGATAAGTTCCATTTGTTATTGAAATATACAGCTATTTTTTATTTTGTGGTTGACATTTTTTTTCCATATATACTACCAATGCTTAATTGTTAGTATTTGTTTATACTTAGCTACACAATAGTAAATTCAAACAGGGACAACCTATGGTAGACTGGCGCCTTGCCGATGCTGAATAAAATGTTTATATATTATTAAGCCGGCAGTAGTTTTTTGGGGTCTAAAATAACCGGTATGGTTCTTTTGGATCTAGATATGATCACTCATCAGACTTATCACTAATGTCCAGCTAATATATAAAATAGATCACTCCAGTTTATGTGTAAACAAGGTCAGATACAAGGGGAAGGCTGGAGTTAATAGTTAATAGTTTATAATACAATCTATATTAAATTTATATTTATAAACACAGATTTCCTTATTTCACACTATTATAATATACAAGTTAAAAGTTAGCTATAACTTAAATTTAAGTGACATGTGTATTGGCGTTGTCGATTGCATTATCTAGATGTTTTTATACATGTGCATAGAGTACACAAGGGTTTCACAAAATGATTGATACTTAGTGTGTGATATTATAATTAACGTGAAGTGGGTCTCATACGGTTAAAAAGTTATTAACGAAACGTTAATATTACTAAGTTTACTATGGTCAAGTTTATACAAACTAACGGTTGGTTACCAACTGCGGCCATCCATCACTGATGTTAAATAATTATGAGATTCGAGCTATCAAAAAAAAAATATAATGGTTCAACACGTTGGCGGTGGCCGGTACTTAACAAAAGACTGCAAGGAAATAGTTTTTACTAAAAAAATTGATGATTTTACTGTTTTTATCTATTTTTAATGTTATAATTATTAAAATTTATTTTATTATTGACCACGATTTAATAAAAAAAAAATTGTTTGGCTTAAGTATTCTAACAGCCTTGACAAAAATGTATTTTCTAAAATGATTATGTACATGTTTATTTTTAAAAGTTATTATCAGCAGTAATAAACATATAATATTAATCATTTGTTGAATAAAAACTAATAGTGTACATATTATGAACACAACGGATTTCATACAAGTTATTTTAGTATTAAAGTTAGAAACAATTGTGCATTATTAAAGAAAAATACTAAATTAATATAATCAAGTTTATAAAAAATGTTTACTAAATTATTTCCACTTGGCTTATAGTTTTTAAATTTTGAACATAGTTGGAAAAATAACAAAATATAGTTAGAACATTACAAATAATTATGGTATAAATCTACTTTACCGGGCACCCTTTTTTTCGATTATTTTTTTAAATCGACAGTACTTTTAATGTTGATTACGAATATGTAAAAAATTTGCGCCGCTCGCACTTAGTTTGGAAGTTACAGACTTTTAAAGTTCGCCGAAATCGACATACGTGCGCGCCCGGCACTGCACGTCTACCCGCGCCCGCTGGGTACTTCGTCCGTCGATCGCCGCTTAATTATCATCGGATTCCTCGTCTACCTGCCTCCCGCCCGTCATGGTCCTTTTTTTTTTGCATCATAATTTCATCACGCTAATATTTGACTTGTTTGGGATTTTGCTATAGCGAACAATGAACAATTTTTGGCTCGCCCGATGCACATTGTTGAGACTTGAGGATGACTTAGTAGTAAATATTAATGTTTTATCGCGCCCCGCTAATATTATAAAGTATTACGGGCTATTATAAAGCAATACATGTTATTCATTTTTTATAATTTGGTTATTCATTTATATTTTATGATTCTACATATATTAACACAAAATAAATATATAATGCTGTTTTTCTACAAACTCTGATGAAAATTGTGAGGGACACACACACACATACATTAATTTATATATATATATATAGATAATAAAAATAGAAATAATTAATCAGATAAAAAAATCCAATTTATATAGATGGCCTATAGCATAAGCCAAATGGGTGGAAAATATACACATTTGCCAATTAGCTAAAAATGTACTTTTTTTGGATTTTTATATCGGTATTTATCTAATTCTAACCCTCTGCTTCTGAGTTTTTAATAATTAGTTCTAAGTCAATAAAAAGTAAAAACCTTTATCAAATACTTTTTAGTTGTATATATAATATATACATGGATCGTTCATTCCGATACTCATGAAAATGCACACAAATTAAACAATGTTCAATAACTTCATTTGTTTTATATTTAAAATATATTTGTAATTTAATTGGAATACATGAAAGCAAGTTAAAATATTATTCAATTAATATCGTTGCAATATACATAATTTTTTTACCTATGTATTATATTAATAAATAAGTATCAATAATATAAAAATGTATAATTATTTATAATAATAGAGTAAAAGTATTTAGAAACAATAATTATTATTAATAGCATGAGTTAACAATAAATCCTGTTGAGTAAATTGAAATGTTTACAATGAACATAGTAACAATGTCTACTATACAATAGGGGTTTTAATAAAAATATAATATTTTCTACAAAGTTACTGTTTTTATTTTTATTGATATACAATTTGGAAATTACATTTTTTGCTATTACTCCGTTATAATATGTGGTGTCGGCCGCACAACATACACAAATAATAATCGTACATTTTACATAAATATTGTACATGTTGGTATCTCTTCGGGTGGCTGTTTGTCGAGTGGCTCCGTGTCGATTTTCGGTGGCTGTTTGTCGAGTGGCTCCTTGTCGAGTGGCTCCGTGTCGTGCTCCCTGAATTTGTATTGCTGATAGACGATAGTGAATGATATACAACGGTGGTACCTAAATTGTATACGAGTGTGAAGTTAGCCATAAACGAGCCAGCAATATTTGATAACAGAAAAAGTCATGGCGTTGGTGTATGTTGTGTTGCCAATACACTTATTATTCTAAGGGGCAGTCCATATATACCCATACACCGACGATTATTATTATACGATATCGACTAAATTAATTAAAATATATTATAATTATCGACAAAACAGTAAGAGTAAATTATTTAACTTAAAAAAATGGCACTTGGGGTTTTGCGGCCGCCGAACTCAACCCAGCAATAAAAAAGCGGCTGAACGCCGACCGAAATCGACGGCAGTTATGTCAATTTTTGACAATGTTCCGGAAGAGGTCCCCTCAATTTGATTATACCAATCGAAAGCTTACTAAAATGTCTAAAAATTCGTCTCTATGAAAAAAGTTGGCACCGGGGGTCTTGCGGCCACCAGAAGCCGCCGAACCCAATCCAGCAATAATGGGGTTGTTAAATAATTATTTTAGTATTATTGAATTATGTAAAACCTGGCTTCTAAATTATTTTTTATTTAAATAAATGGCTATAAAACTATTAACTCTTTAGAAACATTAAACAAAAGTGATGGTGTGTCACTGTGTTAATTATATTATCGTTGTGTTTTTATTTCTACTTAAATACTAACTTCCGCCAAGGTATACAACCCTATATCTGAATAAATAATAATGGTTAAAATTTTTCTAATAATATTAACTATAAGTTCGATAAATGTATTAATTAAAACAGAAAACTAACATTCTTGTTTAGATTCTGCAAATGTATATCATATGGTTCATATTTTCAATTCCAAAATAAAAGAATTTATTAACTATACTTCTGACTTTATAAACAAAGAAAAGCCAAACAAATTATTAAATCTAAAAGAGTGAATCACAACTGGAATTATTACTTCTATCAGAAATAGAGAAAACTTATTTTCTTATCTGAGTTATAGGCCTCTTGATTATTATTTTAAAAAATTTTACAGCGTATATATCTAGAAATATGTTGAACATATTGATTAAAAAGTCAAAAAATATATACTACAAAAAAACTTAAACGAGCTAAATCTGACAGTATACTGACTTGAAGTATTATTGATAAGATCACAGGAAAACCAAACAAATATAAAAATAAAATTAATAAGATTAAAAATTAAGGTGGTATTCTTACTGAATCTAAAACTGTAATTTGTAATGAATTAAATGACTAATGTGGAAAATCATTTAGAATTAGAGCTTATAAATTCAGATATTTTACAATTTAAACATGTTAATAATAACATAGACAGTATATTTCTTAATCCAAATGAACAATGAAGAAATTAGTAAGCTTATAAGATTAAAAAATATAATTATTTTTATAAAAATGATTTGAAAAATTACATACTTAAACAAATTCCCAAATCCATTATCAATTATTTTAAATAAATCTTTATTAATTGGCCATAATACTTTAGCTTTAGAAAAGTTATCGTAACCCCATTATTTAAATTGGTCATAAATTTGCATGTGGTAATTACCGACCGATCTCACTATCATTAACTTTATCAAACAATTTTGAAAAATGTATCAAAACAGCACTTAATTTTTTTAAACATAAAATCTTTCCTTTCAAATTCAAAGTTTGGTTTCAGAACTTTGTAGATTGTCAACAACTGATGCACTGGTGTGCAAATTTTAAATCATTTAAAAAATATATTAAAAACTTAGATTTATCTGAGGTCAAAAATGTATAAGAAGATATATCATTGTTCTAATAAAAAAATATGTATGTATTGTTTTATATTATGTATAATATAATTTATAAGAACTCGCTTCCCAAACACAAGTTTAGTATTAGGGAGTGCGGAAATATTGTTATCTAATTATTAAAATTATGTATATTTTGTATTGTACTATGTCAATAAATTTATATTATTATTATGTATTAAGTAAATAAGTCATTAGCTGATCGTAATGTACTTACAAGCTCGGAGCTATTCCTTAAGGAGAATTACATAGCTGAATCTGTAATTTTTTTTAATATTCCAAATTTAAAATGACCAATCTCAATATCTAATCAGACATCGCCCAATAACTCAATGTGTAGTAGTAATTAGCAGTAAGCAATAGCTATAAATTTAAAGCCCTATGCTTTTAAAAAAAAAAATCATTAAATACTTTTACCGAGGATTTGTTTTGTAGGTACTCGCATTACCTTATCTACCACCGCACAGGATTGAAAGAATTCCATCAATGGTTGATGGATTCAACGCTATAGTTCTCTATATGCTCCAAGATGAAGATGTGGCCTACCAGTTCCATTCTTTTATTTATGATTACCTGTATCGATTCTGGTTTGTAGAAATTGGACTTGATAATATTTCTGTATTCAGGAGAGACATTAGGACAAATAATTATTTAGAAAGTTACCATTCAATGCTATTGCAAATTATGAAGCCTCATCCTAAAGTATGGGAGTTTATTGGTAAGTTCTTATGTAAGGTCTATTAAAATATTAAATTTTTATACAGTTGAATACATATTTTTAATTAACGATAGAACTGATATTAATCTATTTAATCTTTTTATAGATCAATTGAGGTTTTTAGAAAACCAAAGCGAGGTTGAATTTAAGCAAGCTCGGAGCAACCTCAGAGTAAGTAATAACTTAGAATATGATTAAGTCCATGATTTATTTTAATGTACTAAATTTAATTGCAGATCCGTGTTGGTGTTTCAACAAGAACAAGGGAATCCAATACAAGAGCAATTGAAGAATTTTTGGAAGAAATGACACAAGACTATACAGAAGGACGGATTCAAACATTTTTACGGAGAGCTGGTCACCGAGTTGATGGATACATAACTCAAAAAATTGGCCCTTATCCAGGTAATTCAATTTTCTTTATATGACATGACGTTGTAGTAATTCATATTTGATATGATATTATAATTGTAAAAAATTCTACATGTCTTAAGGGGAACCAGATATGCTGCTACAAGAGGTTGTAGAGTAAAGAAAATAATGTTGAGCAACAGATCAGGAGTCAAATGAGGATAGTATAATAGTTGCTAGAAACCTCAGGGTGAGTAATAATTTGGAATATGGTTTAGTCTTATTATTTTAATGTATTAAAATTAAATTATTCTATATCCAATAAATGATACATGACTATACAGGACGGATTCAAACATTTTTACGGAGAGCTGGTCATCGAGTTGATGGATATATAACTCGAGAAATTGGCAATTAACTAGGTAACTTGTAACTTCTTAAAAAATATGTGATAACATTCGTGCAATAGTGCACAGGTATAACCGTTTTTTTTTTTTGGAGGGGAATTGTTCTGTAGCAATACCAAATAAATATTAACCTACATACTTTGTACATTTGGAATGGCATTATGTATTTTCAAACATTGTTTCTGTAAAAAAATTTAAAAGTGCAATTATATTACTTGTGAACAATGCTATTCATTTATTGATATTTTGTAATGATTTATTTATAGGTCGACTTAAGTTGAGTTTTACCATTCCAAATTGACTTCTACCATCATTCAAGCTGGAGGAAATAGTTTCAAGTAATAGCTCTTAACTATTGATCAAACCTGTTTAATTTCAATAATTATTTGTACCAGAATCAAAACTATATAATGAGTTATTCTTTATACTGTTTTTTGAAAATACATTACACTTTGTTTAATAATAAAAAAACTGTTATTATTGGTTATTTAAATTTTTGTCTGCTGTAAAACCTATGTATAAAATAACAATCTGTGTATGTAGTACACAACTGTAACAATATGACAAAAAAATTATTCCCATCTAAAACGCTACTATATAGTTTAAATTACACCACCAGTTCAGTACATATATTAACAGTACATCATTATTGCTTTACACAATTTATGAATGTAACATAAATTAATAGCCAAATGTTGACCCAATACATTTTAAATTTATATTATTTTCTACCCATATCTTATTTATTGATATTTAATAATTATGTGTGTGGAAATGAAAACATTTAATCAAACGTATACGTTATATGTCTAGATATTGGTTGAATTAAAATCCTTATTTGTTCAGAAATCACCGTCTATGCCATTATTCGGTAATGACGTACTGTACGTTTAGAATGTAACCAACAGCATAATGCATTAAATATGTATATTAAAGGTCTGGTGGTTTAACAGAAGTTCATAAGTGTTTAAGAATTCAAGAGTAAATCACATGAATGAAATGTCTAGTTTATATTAAAACTTAAAAGGGAAAGAAGTGAAGAGTGATAAATACATTATTATTGATCGACTATTTGGCAGAGCTTATAAAAATGTCCAAAGAGAGGTTAAATGAAATGTCTCGATGCAAATCTTTTAGTTTTTGGATCTGGACCTTTAATGCTAAAGGTACTTTGATACTTAAGGTCTGACGTTTGTTGGTTATTAGAAGTTTAAAAGTGTGGAAGAATGATATGTTTGTGTGACGGTTACTTAGGAACTCAAGAGTACAAAACAAGAATGAAATGTCTGAAATAGTTTGTAGCAAATATTTTTGATTATTCGAGTGTACGGCGGTGATTATAAAAACGGTCAGAGTACAAAATGATAATAATAATAATATTCAGTGCATAAAATACCTAAATTATTTGATACTTATCCAGACATATTTTATACATAATAGATAAATTGATATATACATTAATACTTTTTTAAGTAAACCATGAAAGGTATAAATCCATATGTTGATATATTTTTAGATGGCTAACCAACAATTCATCCTACTAAATGATAATAATCAAAAATTTTAAAATAATTTTATTTTTTATTATGTAGTATCAATTTAAAAAAATATAGCAAAATCTATAGATTTACTATACTTTTTTAGGGTGGAGCGAATACTTATATTATACTTCTATAAATAATAAAATAGTAAATTAAATGTCGATTTTCAATATAAATTTTAACCCTTTGAAGCACAGCATTTTTATCTCCGATTTTCTCTGAACATGATTATGAAGGTGGTAATAAATATATACCACTGCGCGAGAGTAGGCTATTTTTTGAAAAAGTGGTATATTACTTATACCACCATGCTTCAAAATGTTAAAATGCAATAAAATGATTTGAAATTAATATTTTATTTTTATGTTTTAATTATGCCCTATGTCTGAAATCACACCACAAAAAAAAACAAAATAGTCAATATTAATAAGTATCTAATTTAGTTCAAGCTATATCAATAGCAGCTCAAAAAAAAAAAATATATATATATATATATATACATACATATAATATAAAAAATTAACATTAAATAGTTAGTAAAAATAAATGTTCAGACAATTTTTTTGATTTTTGATTACTACTCACAAAAACGGTCTAAGAACACAAAATGTTGAACGCTAAAATAATCTAAAGACAACTGTTTTAAGAATTTATTAAGATGATATAGGGACTTTTGCTGATGCTTTTAAAAAACATACCTATAATTTTTTATAATAAGACTGTGTAAAAATGCATTTATTCGTTGGTTAAATAAGTATTATAAAGCCAGGGAGTAAAAACCGGAATGATTACAATAGCATAAGATGTTGCTATGTATAATGTGATTAAAATAAATTAGATCATGTAATACAGTTATTTCTTATTAGAGCGGAATGAACACATAGATATTTTATGTCAATAATGTATAAAAATTTTAAGCACACAAAAGTAGCCCCAGGTGTATAAAACTAAAAATCGATTGTTTTTAGATCTGAACAATTTTTATTCAGTGCATCAAATATACTATTATTATTATTTAAAAAAATATTTTTCATTATATATATATATATTATTATTTTAACAACAATAAACTTTTTTTTAATTAATCCATGTATTATGTTATTTTTAGATAGGTAAATAAATGTTTTTCTACTAAATAATTTACAATAATACTTCCTAAAAAAAAAATTATCTGGAAAGTGAAATCAGATACATGATTTAAAAAAATAAAGTTATATGTTTGTCAATTTCAAAGAATACAAACTATATTTTCAACTTTAATGACAATTATTAGATTTTTCTTAGCTTGAATTGTTGATTTCCACATAGCTTACCTACAATGTATGAATTTTCCAAAGTTAAAATATTAAAACCACAAATTAAGTCAAAAAACAATTTTAAAAACCCCAAACGGTTAGTGATAGTACTCGATAGTGATCATACATATTTATATAGGTAAATCATCCTACTAAATGAAATAATTAAAATATATTCAAATAATGCCAATTTAACGTGAAATAATATATCATTAAAAAAAAATATATAAAAAAACTAAAATAATTTTTATTCTATGTAGTGATCATAATTGTACAGCTTTAACAAAAAAATGTGAAATAATTAATGTCTTAATTATTTGTACATTAGTATCGTATGTGTGTGCACGTTAAGAAACTAAAGCGTTAAGAGAAGTCGGTTAAGACACTGTATAATGAAAAAAAAACTGTCAATTTAAATTAGGGTTGAGTATAGAGATTAGATAGGCTCTAATTATTAAAAAATACTTCATAAATAACAAAAAATGAACTTCTACGGTGTAAGTTTTCTGTTGGCCGCAGGCAAATTAATCGGTGACGGCATAGGATAACAGTCTGTAACCAATGGTAACAATAATAACTACTTATTGTATTAATTAAAGACAGAGTAGATAGAAGTAGCAATCAATCTTCTAAACGGACACGCGTCGGTTATGATTTCACTATAGTATTGGCCTAAAACAAATAATTTACATATATATAAAATAAGTCAGTAAGTTATTTAGTTGAAAATAAATAGTAGTCAACAAATTTTTCAACAAAAAATATGAAATGTATCGTTATCACCACACACAGCGGTTTGAAAAAGATAAGAATTTTGTACATCTAATTAATTTGATAATTTGGTTTAAGCGAAATGTAATATACTACTATACTATTAATTATTATATATATTCTAAATCTAAAAAACGTACCGACATCCAACGACGCATATTAATAGGTAATGTTTGCACACCGGGAAACACGTCGATTTCTCTTGAACGAAAACCGTGAGCGAATTACGGACAAATATGTAATTAATAATAACTATTATACGTTTAATATATAATTATGTGTATATAATATAACAAACTACAAAGACAAAAATTCACCAAATAAAACAAAACACGCCGTTCGCCGTTTTTAATTTTCATTATTATATATATGATAACGTTTGACACACCGGGAAACACTATTGAATAAAAAACCACGTATGACAATGAACAACAATGTAATTAATAATAATAATAATAATTTTACGTTTAATTTAAGGAAAGTACAAACTCGGCAATAAAAACAACACACGCCGTCACCGTTATTATTTGATACGATAACGTTGTGACATGATAAAAACGCGCGCCAACGCCACGCGCTGCCCAAGCCGCCTTTATGCTTGTCTATGAGCCAGATGTGTTATACGAATCCCATGGAAGAGACGATTAGGCGACTGGCGGGACGTCGGCTATTTGAATTGACATTTTCATATATAGATAGAAGACTACTATCATTAGAATTTAGATAACAGATTTATGTTGTGTGATATGAATGCGAGGACTACATGTATTGTACAGTTCTACTCATACTTCAAACACTACAATATTTGTCATTTTTGGATAATTTAATTAAGTTGGTAACACCGTCTTATCAGAATTATTGTAAATCGGACCCTTATCATTTTTCGGCTAACTGCCGATCCCCCGTAGCATATATTCCGCTTTCTTTGATTGTATATTGTAATATAATTTTCAGCCCGTGATGAGCCTGAGATATTTTTTGAGTTAAAACAATAAATAATTGTTGTTTACAATATAATATTAACATAAAAAATATTAAATTGTGCGCGTGATTTTATAGTTGTATGTTGTTTTAGTGTCTAGGTAATTGTGCCCTGGCCATCAGCATCTTCCAAGTTGTATAATAATTGTAAGTACCGTGAAAATTCATAAATACCATAAAAGTCCTTAATGCCGTTTTCACACGTACACACCGGTAGGTCCGATGCCGGCTGTTATTTAATCAAACGATCGCTTATACACGATAGTCCGGACCGGTAAATTCACCGGCCTGGTACTCGGCTCCGGAATATGCTATCGGTGTTGAACTTGACAATAAGAATGCCGGTCCGTTTTTATTTTAATTATGATTATTTTTGAAAACTATTCGAACCAGTTGTTATTTGAATAAATAAAATCAAAAAAAATTTAAAAATTGATTAAATACCTAAATTTGAAAAACTTAAATAAAAAAAGTTAATTAAATTTGAATAAATTCAATAAATACAATTTTAAAAATAAATTAATTGTTATTTGAATAAATTGTGAAAAAATAATTCAAATTACATTTTATACAATTATATTTTTTTTTTGTAAGAGAATTTGCATAACTCTCATTACTAGTAATTTTTTTTGTTATATTGGGCCTCATTTGGTGATTATAACTTTAATTATGATATTAGTTTACATTCTTTAAATTATTTCTATACTGTCTATATCCTCTCAATCTAGTAAATATCTTTAGCTTTATTTAATATTTTATTTTGTTAAAACCAGGATGCTGTAATATTACAAACATTAACGGTAAAAATGAATAAACATTCAATATTTATTTAATAATTAATAATGTTTACTATCTGCGTATTATTCTGCTACAATTATCTTGTCTAGAAAAAACCTAAAGCAACTTACGGTTATATATAATAGGAATATAATATAATTCAAAATCTAAAAGCATGGTTTGGAAACAGCTCATAAGAGTTGTTCCACGTCGTAACCGACAAAGTAGGAATTGCATTTTGTTAGAAAATAGACTAATATGTTAGTTTGCCAGCTGTCGGTGTATTTGAATTGGTAGATAAGAACTGCTTCATTATTCTTAATTTAATTAAACGACTCATTCACAAATTATTTGATCCAACAAGTAAAAAATATAATTAAAAATTATACCTACATCCTAGATTATTATTAGTGGTATCTCGATAAATTTCTAGCAGTCAAAAACTATAAACAATTTTTTTCATATTTGTTTTTAGTAAAAAAAAAAAATATATAATTTCTAATTAGTATGTTCTCTGTGTATCATTTTTGTATGTTCTGTGAACAATTAACTTTTTAAGATAACTGAAAAACTAGTAGACCGAATAAACATAAATTTTATGAAATTATTTATAATGTGGACAAAAATAACAAGCTTGTTACTTTAAGCTGTCTAAATTGTATCCAAATCCTACGTTAAGCTACCTATTTTAAATGTTTTTAATAGTTTATCACACGTGCGGTAGTTGCAATTATGCACAAGCTCCTATAACACATATTGGATAATTAAAAGAAAAAGTTGTATTACAATAGACAGGTCTAATGACATACAATTACTAAAATCTTCATTTTATAGTTTGTGATGTTAGTTTTTTTACTCCAATAAATTAGTAAACTTACTCTAGTAGATAGTAAAGTTTAACACCTTAAGTTTCGGTTAATAAATTGTTTTTTTTTATATTGTACATTGTGAAAATAAAACATTATTTATAAGTAAAAGTCTTGTTTGAGATTTCCTTGTCGAACATTAAGTACATATTCACTCATGTTACGTTTTATTTTTTTAAAACAATTTAAACACCGTCTTAAACTGTTTAAGAGGCAATATCTAACTTATTTAAAAATGCATGATAAAATATGTCATTAATGATAAAATCATAATATCGGTTAAGGTCAGTTCATGTTAACTTAAATTAAATATTACCTCTTAAAACAATCAAGAAAATGCTAAAAATTGTCAAAATTAAAGTAGATATTAGAAATATATTTATACTAACTAACAAATTATTACAGTTATCTATACAAACATGGATAACCTCAAACCGATACATTAAATTATGAACTAAGTTAGTAATTATTATACATACATTTGTTGGATGATTATTTTGGTAAATAACATAAATAATAAATAATTTTAAATAGATGATCGAAGAAAAAGAAAAATTTTAAAAGTTAAGTACAAAATATGTTTGTGAATGGATAAGTATAATTACAAATGAATCATGTTTAACACAATAATAAAAAACATATGTAACGCTAACAAAAGTAGTGATTTTGTAGGTAGGTACTGATAGTTATTACATTTTAATAAATTGATTTTAAAGTAGGTTAGTATACTATTTTTTGGTAAGATTTTCAATCTTAGTCATATTAAAGTAAAAACATGGAACGGTTATCATGCCGCATGAGTAAAATAAATTAAATGATTTTCTATTGTGTATAGGTTCTTTTTAGATAATACAGAATTAGTATGATGCAAAGCTAATTGTCATAAGTTAACTGTAAATATTTTTTTTTGAAATTCCATATTGTGCAGTTTGATTTGAACTGAACTTGGTAAGCAAATAAAATATTTCAAAATTTCAAGTAGTTATCTAAAACAAAACATAACAAACCATTTGAGGGAGTACTCATTTTATAATTTAACACCCAACTTGTTTAAGTCTTACCTGAAATTGGTCAACGACTAATAGAGTAAATAAAAAGTATCACGGCGTTATAAGTTGAAAAAATTTCAAATAAGAGTTATCATGAAATCGATTTCAGTAGTGTCGAATAACATTTTAATCTAAAATTTAATTAAATCGACTTGCAATTGAAAACATGTTGTAAGTACTTATAAATCGTAATTGTTAAAAGTTAAAACTATTACTAAATAGGAATAGACTACAGTATACAGTATACACCATCCGCTAAAGTAAGCAGATAATAATGAGTATTTTAACTTTTAAGGTAAACCATTAATGTCAATATGTGTTATCATTTATTGATTTATCCTAATATTGTGTACAGTAAATAAAATAGTAGAATGTTCTCTAATCATTGTATGTGAAATGAGAAGAGGTACAACAATATAACGTACCATTTACCTAATCTCCTACTTTCAGAAGTTTAGCTGTATTCCAAGTACCGACTACTTGTACGAAATATACGATAACTAAAAATATGCGAACGGTTGTCGTTGGTAATGAGAATTAATGTATTGAAGCGCTCCAATTTATAATCTTTATATATTAATAACTCACCAATGCATTATGCTAACTAAAAATGTTTTGGCCAAATTTTTAATTTTTTAGTTTGAACGATAATTAAAAAAAAAAACCACATCCCATTTGTAAATCAAAAGTTGCTATAAAAAAACTAATTTGAGAGGGGTATAGAACATAAAAATTTGTGGAAAATTGAGATCACATATTATTATTATTATTATTCATTATATAAAAACATAATGAAAAAAAAATGTATTTACTAATTAAACCCAGTTAGATGTTGAGTAGTTCACGATAAGTTGATTACCCTGTATATATTAATATTTTATCTGTATTATTTATAACTTTTTTTTGTTTCAATATTGGAAAATTATAGTTAATTGCATCAAAACTGAAAACCATGATCAAAGTAAAAGAAGAATATGAACAATCCAAAGAACTTACTACCAAAGTCGATGAAGAAAAAACAAAATCTAATTTTATTCCAGAAAATGAAAAGTCAAATAATGGTGTAGCGCCCCAGACCTTAAATGATGTCAATACTTACAAGTAATGTGATATTTTAAATACAAGAAGTAGGTACATTTTGTTTATAAAAATTAAGGAAAAGTTGTGTGATTAAGAGGTAATTAGTTTTTCAAAAGTTCAAAAGTTGTTCATTTAACATTCTATAGCAGCTTAGATAAAGAGGTTGTTCTCATTTTTAATAATGATTATAATTACTAATATGTAACTATATTTTTTACATATTTTTGAAGTATAAACTTTGTAATAATGTAGATAAAGTAACTTGATGTAGTGACGCACGCACAATTTAAAAGCTTCAAGGAGCTCTAATCAGTTATTTTGTACATGCTAGTTTGACAAAGTTCTTCTTCAAAACTTGGTTAATAACTGATAGCAACTTACACAGAATTTTATGTTTACAGAGTACATTGTTTTTAACTATAATCGCTTCCTTTTTGAGCTTGAAAAAAATTATTTTTGTTTTTAGTGTTATAAATAAGTACAACGGTACGGCTGTGAAAGTTGAAAAAGATATATTGAATGGTTATTGTTTCGAGTCTGTTGTGGAAATTGAAGAAAACAGATTTTTGGATATAAAACTGATGAAATACGAATTGGACAAAGTACGGAATTTTGTTTGTGACATTTGCAAAGAAGCGTTTACTACTAAAAGAAAAGTGGCTGGGCACATTAGAGAAACACATAGTGTAAACAGGACACTCCAGAAAAGTTGTGGAAAAAATGTTGTTGGAAACACACTTAGGTAAAGTGAATCTATATTTTATACTTATAGTTATCAACTTTGTCATCGTTAAAATAAAGGCGTTTGATCGTCTTTTTTTAAACTCTATAAACAGGTACTGACTAATCTATAAACTTTATCTTTTTAGTAATCGAATTGCACCGAAGATAGACAGTAAAAATTCTGCAAAAAAACTGGGATTGTTCCATTGTAATTTGTGTCAAAAATCGTACATCACTAAAAAGCAAATAACATTACACATAATACAAGCCCACCAAACATTAACAATCAAACCCTTGTCACGAAAACCTTACTCTAAACATTACAATAAGAATTCTAAAGCATTAAACAAAAGTGACAGCCAAAACTATAAATGTAATGTTTCTTCAAGGTCATTTCCAAGGTCATCCGGCCTCACAAATCACCAAAAAGTGCACACAGGGAAAAAGCTCTACAAATGTAATGTGTGTTCAAAAGCATTTTCACAAAAATCTGACCTCACAATACATCAACCCGTTCATACTGGTGAAAAGCCATACAGTTGCGATATGTGCCCAAAGTCATTTTCTTTTTCATGTCATCTCAAAACACACATACGCATGCACACTGGTCAAAAGCATTACAAGTGTGACATATGCTTAAAGTCGTTTTCTGATAAAAGTCAACTTACAATACATCAACCCGTGCATACTGGTGAAAAGCCATACAGTTGTGATATGTGCCTAAAGTCATTTTCTGTTAAATCTAGACTCACAAAACACAAACTAATACACTCTGATATTAAGCCATTCAAATGTGACGTATGTTTTAAGTATTTTACTGAAAGATCAGAACTCCAAATACACGAACGACGCGTGCATACTGGAGTAAAGCCCTATGAATGCAATTTGTGCTCGAAGAGATTTTTTGATACATCTGAACTCAATAGGCACACGCGCACACACACTGGTGAAAAGGCATTCAAATGCAATGTGTGTCATATTTCATTTTATGAAAAATCCCACCTTACAAATCACGAAAAAGTGCACACAGGAGAAAAGCCCTATAAATGTGATGTGTGCCTCAAGTCTTTTTCCCGCAAGGACACTCTCGCTACACACGAACGCGTGCATACTGGCGAAAAGCCCTATAAATGTGATGTGTGCAAAAAGACTTTTTCTCAAAAGGTCCACCTTGCTCAACATGAACGCGTGCACACTGGTGAAAAGCCCTATAAATGTGATTGGTGCTCTAAGTCATTTTCTGTATCATGCAGCCTCAAAACCCACAAACGCGTGCACACCGGTGAAGGCGTTAAAAAGCCTTATAAGTGTGACATATGCTTAAAGTCGTTTTCTGGTAAAAGTAAACTTACAATACATCAACGCGTGCACACTGGTGAAAAACCCTACAGTTGTGATGTGTGCCTTAAGTTATTTGCTAGGAAAGCCCACCTTACAGTACACTCAAGGGTGCACACTGGGGATAAGCCTTTCAAATGTGATACGTGCTTTAAGTCATTTTCTCAGAAATATTATCTCAAATCACACAAACGCGTGCACACCGGTGAAAAGCGTTTCAAATGTGATATGTGCCTAAAGCCATTTTCCGACAAATCTCAAATTAGAAGGCACATGCGAGTACATACTGGAGAAAAGCCCTACAAATGTGAGTTTTGCGAAAAAGCATATTCTCAAAAACCTATGCTTCAAATACATAAACGCGTGCACACTGGTGAGAAGCCCTTCAAATGCACTGTGTGCTTAAAGTCATTTACTAATACAAACGACCTTAAAATACACAACCGTGTGCACACTGGTGAAAAGCCCTATAAATGCTCCATATGTTTAAAGTCGTTTGCTCAAGTGTCTTACCTCACAATACACAAGCGCGTGCACACTGGTGAGAAGCCCTTCAAATGTGACGTGTGCATGAAATCATTTTCTGTTAAATCCAGCCTAACAATACACAAGCGCACACACTCTGGGGAAAAACCCTACAATTGTGATGTGTGTTTAAAGTCATTTGTTTCTAAATCTCGCCTCACAGATCACCAACGCGTGCACACCGGCCAAAAGTATTACAAATGTGATATGTGCTTAAAGCTATTTTCTTTAAAATATCAAATTGTAAATCACATGCGAGTACACACTGGAGAGAAGCCCTACAAATGCGCCGTTTGCCTTAAATCGTTTTCTTCTAAAGCAGCCCTCACAAAACACATTCGCACGCACACTGATACAAATGCCTAGAAAATGTGATACGGGCTTAAAGAATTATTTTCTCAAAATCAAACTTTGGACTATTTGTAAGTGTGCACACTGGTGAAAATAATAAATGTTTATATTCTTTTTGTACCAAAAAATATGATCAAATAGACCCTTTTTTACCTCGTTTTTTATGTAATAATTATTTGTATAATTTTTTGGAAGAATAATTAGTTTATACCTAATAATAGGTAACACTTAGTCCAAATAAACAATAACAAATATGTATGTTCTTAATTTAAAATAAACTTTTAATTATTATAACTTAATCATAATGTTATTATGTATTTAATGTTAATTTTTTACATTATTATTGTACTTAATGTTACTATTTGTATTATTATGATTCATTTTTTGTACGTAAATACTAAATTTAACTTTTATTGCTCTATACTTGTATTATTTATTTTTGTAAGTTATCATTCTTAATAATTTAATTAATTTGTCAGGTAGACACTTAATTAATGGCGAACCACGGAAATTGATTTATGACAAATGTTAAATATTGATAAATGTTTTCAGTAAGTCGTTTAGAGTCAGATATTTAAAACGTTTGGCCAGAACATATTAAGACTATACTATCATCATAATATATTAAAAGGAGTTTATATATCGGAAATGGTCATATAATTTTTAGGACATATCCTTGTAATGATGTATCTGCGTTTTAATTAAATCTAAGTACATTAACAATGATAGTGTTACCGTGATCAGAAAAATGTATATATATTAAAAACATATATTTTTTAATTAACTTATTTTGTTTTTAACCCTAATTTTCGTTTTGCAGTCTCTATACTCTCTCCATTCCTTCCCGTTACCAGACAGCATTTTCACTTCAGTGAATCTATACAATTAAGTTATTTTTACAATAACCAGCTGATTTTACAAGAAATAATGTTATTAAGTTAAAATTATAATTTGCAAGAACAATAAATTATATTGTTTAACACTTACTATTTAAGAACGGAAATAATGTTTTTGGTTATACTCTCTTGGATTAAGTAAGGCCTATGATTTTTGGCAAAATAGCTACTGTATAGTTTGTGTCACAGCATAGTAGGTACCTATAAACCAGTACACCCAACATGGGTTGTGTAAACTAGTTACGTATTGAAGTAATTAGTTTTATGATCATAAAAATACCGATGGTTTGGTAGGTATTACGTATTATTACATTAGGCTTGTAAAGTGAAACACGCTATAAAGGGTTGTAGCGACAAATAAATTGGTAAATTATTAATTTTGTCAATATGTTGTTGTTAAAATATACCACACAGACAATATATTTACTGAGTAACACTATTTTTGGTTTCACAATTATTTATATATATTTATCTTAGAAGAAAGCAGCGCTATCAACAGTATTGATACGTACTGAGAGACCGTATGAACCAAACTAGTTGGTAATTTTGAGTTTTATTGGGTGTTATTAATTTAATACCAATTTACTGTTTAAAGTCCTTGTTAGTCTGTGATATCCTAATTAAACGCGACGAGAAGGCAAATGTTGTTTAAAATCATTCTTTAAACCTTTCTAGTTATCTATTTAATTTGGTTTCATTAAGATTTTTATCAATATTTAGTTTTTAAAATGTGCTTAATAAAAGATATATTAAATCTTTTATGTGTAATTCAGTTCACACATTTTTGTAGTTTAATAGCTTTTTATTTTATACCAAATAGGTGATTTTTATTTTATTAAGCGAGAAACAAGTCCAGAATTGATAAAAACGCTTTTACCGCAACGACACCATGATCAAGGTAAAATAAGAATACAGTCCAAAGAATAACGTTCTAAAGCATTTGAGGAAAAAACAAAACCGTTTCACAATAAAAATTTAAATAATGGTGCGACGACTCGGAACAATCGTAGCAATACATATAAGTAATGTGATACTATAAATATGAGGAATACATAATAGTACTAAATATTAAAAAATAAAAATGTGTTTGAGGCATTCCGTTGCTTGTTAGTTACAGGTTATTCTCCATTGATTTACTTTACAGCGGGAGTGCGGTATCTAATAAATACTTTCAGTTTTAGATTAGTAATTTAAAGAGTGCTGTAACCAAAATTTAAAATTGTTGTGAAACTATTAAGTTTGATTTTGAATATTTCACCTCATGACTACAGACGTGTTACAAATCACCTTGATTTGGTTTCGCTAGTTTGATCTAACATTCGATGGATGTTAGAAGTCTACTTTTAAACCCTACTACTGTAAATCTTTTTTTATGCTGAATTATATTTAAACTCAATACTATAAACCTCGTCTTTGCTTAATTAATTTAGTTAAAACTTATTGTGTAAATACTAGTATAATAAATTATTGTGAGCACACCGACGAAAATCGGATGTTAATGGAAATAGTTTGATTAGCGACAAATACAGCCAGTACAGTGTGGTCGGGGCATAGTGGGAACAGAGAGGTCATAGGTCTACAGATATTACTATAACTGAAAGCGATAAAATCACTTTCAAATAAACGCTTCGATGCGAATATGTGGATAGTATGTTCAAACCAGTTATAGTTCAACTATTAAGGTTACTATAGATTTACTGATTTTTTTTTTTGGTTGTCAACGTACATAAATCGATTCAGCGGTTTAGAAGATCGTGGGACCAGCAAAAATGTACTTAAAATTTAATATTTAGTCTTGTGCAGGGTGGATACGATAAGGGTTGATCGTCTGTCTTAAAAAATTTACCGTCACAGTTACCCATATATCGTAATTAACAATATAATGAAAATATTTTCATTACCCGTTGACTGTTGATTCACTCACACATAGCAACCTAGAAACTGACTACGGCCAAAGTGTGAATTTACCCTATTTTTGGTGTTCTTTCTTAATAAAACAAAAAAACCTGACTACAGATTTTTGAGAAAATTGTATATGTTATAGTTTCATTTTAGATCTACCTTCGATATAATTTTCAGGTCTAAAACTTTGGTTGAAAAAGTGAAATAAAGAAACAATCGTAGATGGTTTTATTGAACTATATCCGAATCCGCGGTTTATGAGCGACGAATTGAACCGTCATATTGAAACCTTTTT